GCAATGGCTGCTAGAACTGTTTTGCCTTCAATGTCTGGGAATTCGGCAAGGATGGTTTCCCATACCATTCCTGCATACGAGCCTGCACTGTGCCCTCGAATGAAAAGGGAGCCTACCATGTAACCTGTTAATTTGAGATACTCCACCGAACGGATCTCGGGGGGCAGGCACACTCCTACCAATGGATGCGCAACCAGCAGTTTGGTAAAGAGTCGCAGGCCGTGCTTGTACCCTGGCCATGGCGGTTTCCTATGAGCCGGGGTAATGGGACAGAAACGTAGCAGTTTCATGGCACGGCTGATGATCTGTGCTTGCAGTTGGTGGGCGTCGGGCACTCCAAGAACATGGCACCAGGTGTGGGCACCAATTGGGAACATGGCTATATGCAGTAACAAGTATTCTTGTGTGTGGGCAGTTCCTGCAATTGTGCCAGCTCTCGCATTCCAGTCATCCTGCTATCCAGGGACCCTGGGTCAGTGGGATTGAGTTGCCAGGCAGTGTTATCCATGATAATGATCTTCCAATCAGTGTATTGAGGGTCGGCATGGCTGGCAAGAACTTCATTAATGGCCAGTTCTGCATTGCTGGGGTCAATTCCCAGTCGTTGTTGCAGTGCCTCAAGAAGAGGGAGAATTTGGGCAGTGGGCAGTTGGAGGCTAGCTTGCTGTCCGCAGAGGACGTGGGCGGTCTGGCAGGTCTGGGGCCAGGGTGTGTGGTCGTTGTTGTAATTAGGGACTTCCACTGGCGTCCAGAGGCTCTGGAGCAGCAATACTTGCGTCTTAGTAAGGCTGCGCTGTCGTGAGACGTGTGGTCTTGCTACTAATTTACTTCCTCTGACGAAGTCGCAGCCTGTGGGGTGTGTCCATAGCGGGGGTGCTTCGTCAACCCCTATGAGCGAAACGGCAAGCGGTTGCAGCCCTTTACTTTGCCACTGTTGGAGCTTTTGTCCGAGGCCGACTTTGCTCCCATGGAAGGCATGTACTATGGGTGGCAGGCTGTACCCATTATCTAACTCCTTGCTTTGGAACAGCTTATCCCCCGGGAGGCAGAGTATGGGGAAGTTGGCCGGGAAAACATACATGGGGGAGAGTGCTCCCTGTTCGAAGATGGGACGAGCCCAGGTGAGGAAGGGCGGGGTTCGCTCAACAAAATCCGGTCGTAAGTAGCGACCATCTCCGTGGCGCGGCCATTCTCCTTGCTCAGGGATAGGGAATGCAATGATTCCAGCCCATTCACCTAGCATTGCCCAGGCATGTGTCCAGTCTAGTGGGGTTCTAGCCTTGCATCCAATTAAAGGGGTAAGAACCAGTCCGCCTCTTATCGCTTCCGCGGGGTCTTCTGGCACGGCTGTAGTGGCTAGGAAATTGGCTCGACTGTTGCAAAGTGCGATGACCCATTCGTCCGCCGATCTGCTGTTGGCTGGTTGGACTATTCGTCGTGCTTTGGGGGCAGGTGCATCACTCGCAGAGGAGCCGGCGGCATCGCTTGGTGGCATGCTAGCATCTGGGGTTTCCTGGTCCATGTCGACATCTGTTGAACAGGTCTGAGCATGTCCTGTAACTATAATCAATCCAGCATTGAGTTCTGCTTTTGCTTCGGTTGTGAGTAGGACTGCCGGCGGGCATTGGCTGGAACTGGCCATAGTACAGTGTTGCATTGCCTCAGCTCTGCTCGCCTTATCCGTCATGAGATTGACCAGTTCAGCTATCTCAAAGAGCGAGGTGGGCACACAATCAGAGTCCGTGAGTGCAAAGTTCACAGTGGGAAAGACTAAGCACAGTGCCTCCAGGACCGCAGCACCAGCCCAGGTATAATGGACCTGATGCAAACCTGTATTAGCGTTGATGGGAATATGGATAGCAGTTGTTTTTTCTCGGTAAGGTCCAGTGACTGCACATCTGCCTTTGATCCATGGTGCAAAGTGCTGCCAGTAGTCAGGGGGATTGGTGCCTGACAGCGTGCGGTTGTCCACGAACACATAGACAGTGTCATACTGCGATACCCATGAGAGGTTGTCTACTATCCACTGGAAGAGTGTCCTATGATGGACCTGGCTGGCTGCGGGGCGGCGGATTCCATTCCCTTCATCCACCATTACTGTTGGGTATGTCAGGGGTGATCGGGGCATACGACGAGAGCCTACGTTTGCCCACTTCCAATTCTGCTTGGTGTCATCCATACCGAGTGGGGTTTCAATCTCTTTCTCCGACAGGAAGAGCTCGTCCAGTTGGTGGCTTATTTGCAGGACACCCTGGACATTGGAGAAGTCAATGGGCACAGCAATTTCCCACTCCTCTCTTGGAGGAGGCTCAGTTCCTTGTAGGAAGTAGGGAGTGTCATCCTCGGCCTCTAGAGCATCGAAGTAGATCGATTGGTCACTGTCAGCTGACGCATCCTCGCGGGTTTTTTCGGTGATGCATGGCACCGTTGGCTCTATGTCTGGATCCGAGTCGTCAGGGTCATCCGTCGCCAAGGGAATGAACCTATTTGCTGTCATGAGCTGCTGTATCATTCTGGCGTGGGCGTAACCCTGAACAACCGGTACCCGGTGTCAGGTTCCCAGTGTACAACTAGGACTGTGAAATACTGTCAAGGCGGTAGGGTTCAAATGTTTCCAATGAATCAGCGGAGCTAGGGGCACCCCGAACACCCGGTACCCGGGGTCGGGGGTTCTCGTTGCAGGGCCAATTCAAGTGGAGTTTTAAAAATACAGATTGAAGCTTATCTATCGCCTTGAGATGCGAATTGGGTGGCTTATGGCTAACCTAGCTATAGAAACTAGTAGAGCCGCAAAAGCTGCAGTGAGAGACACATTATACCAGTACAGATGTTAGAAGCATTCTTCACTAACAATGCATCAGCACCAACGGAAGCAGGATTCAAATGACCGGAGACGGAGGGACATGGGACACAAGCCTGACAAGACCCAACAAGTGAAGTACCCAAATACAAATCCCCTTACACTACCTTGGGGGGGTCATATTGAGTTGGTAAGCCCCTAAAAGTCCAACAAGTTTGGGGGGTAACACCCTGGCACTCAACTGCTTTTCTCTTGGCGCACCTGTGGAGTATGGCGACAACATAAGCCGGCACTGATCGGGTGATCTCAGGGCAGTCATATGCACTCCGTGCTAGTTGGCTGCAAGTTCACTCAATCAATGATTTCTATTTCTATATCTACGATCGGCGAAGCCTGAGGAGTATCTGGTTCCTGGCCATCTTGTATTGTCTTGAGGCGTTTCGTGATATGCCATAGGCTCTGACGAGCACTGGCTAGTCGCGTTTCGTGATACGCCACCTTCTGTGGAAGTTTGTCACCCTTATGGGGTTGCAACTTGGCATTGGTGCGACAAGCATTCATTGAGTCTTCAGTAGTGAAACTGGACTATGGGAAGGTGTCTACAACAGACATAAGTAGTTTCGATATTGCTTTGTGGTATAAGAAGCTGCATGAGATGATTTGAGATATCGACCTGTGAGTCTAAGTGAATCTACTTGGAGCTCGATTCTCCTTTGAATACAGTTTGAAGCGTTATTTAGCTTTATGACAGTGGACGAATGCTTTCAGAAGCATTCGCTAGACAGTTGAGTCGGGATGATGTGGTTTCATCGATCTCGGAGATTTCTTGACTCCGTGTGGGAGTGTGAATCTGACGGAGATGGTTTTGGAACCTCCGTTTCGATTCTTGACGTTGCTTCAAACATCTGAGATGTTTGTGAAGCCCTTTGACTACCTCTTGCGAGTATGTGAGATACTTCGGCATTGTGAGGACAATGCCTACGTATAGTATTCGACATCTAGGTATGTGATCTGGAAGTCTGATATTTCAGCGTTGTAAGGACAATGCCTACGCATAGTGTTCGACATCTGGGCATTTGATCTGGAAGTCTGATACTCCGGCATTGAGAAGACAATGCCTACGTATAGTAGTCAACCTCTGGGTATTTGATCTGGAAGTCTGCTTTGTGACCTTTGTATTTGTGACTTATTGCTGATGTTTGGTTATTGCAGTGAGCGAACTACTTTAGCGCTATGACTGCTGATGACGGGATATTAGCTGAGAAGTCGAGCAGAACATTCTGCTCTCCACGGTGGTTTGGAGCTATGAGAAGACATCTCTGGGTGAAGAACTGTTTTGGAGATGGAACATGAGGTTCCCATGTTGTTTATTGCAAGAGAATTTTGTCGAGCAGAACATTCTGCTCTCCACGGTGGTTTAGAGCTATGAGAAGACATCTCTGTGTGAAGAACTGTTTTGGAGATGGAACATGAGGTTCCCATGTTGTTCTGTATTGCAAGAGAATTTTGTAGAGGAATTTGAATGGATCATTTCGTTCTTGAATAGCCGTGTAACTAGTCTAGACGTTTGGTAGAGACTAGTAACACCGGCTGGCTGGTTATTCGCGTTTGGACGAGAACCAGTTTGACTTGAGAACTTTTGGAAATGTTTCTGACGTTTTGCGACTAGGTGATTTGTATATCATAGCAGTTTGGAATTGTTTCAACAACCTTTGAAGGAAGTAGGTGAATCATGGGTACCATGAAAGCCTTGTCTTTCCTGCCCAGCGCAGGAACGGAGCGCACAAGGTTGTACAAAGGAAACCAACCAAAAATAAAAAAAAAAATAAATGTAACACAAACCAAACTGTGGAAACCACTCTTTGAAATGCGTTTGTGTTCGTTTTAAGTTTCAGTTTTACTGAATCTGTTTTCTGAGTGACTGTCTGATGATTATTTATATTCTGTATTTTACATCTCAAATTTAGGGATGTGGTGGGCGGGTTCACACAGAAAATTTCTGTGATTTCCCATAGTTTTTGGGATTTTTGCATGCGCCGAACTGGATCTGCCTTACAAAAGGGTGCCGTTGCTTACAACTCGCCATTGCAGTTGGGATCTGTTAAATCCAAACCTTCGTTTGGGCTTTTCTTTTCTTGTGGCTGCATTTCTGGCATTGCAATTACCCTTTTCAGTATTCTGGTTTGGTTGCTGAACGTGGATGCCACCTAGTGAAGCAGACCTTCAACTCTATACAATCACCCAATTGATTCAGACGCTGGTGCGAATTGCTTTTGAGTTGGCAAGACGTTTTCGCATTGCGGTGCCGGACATTCCGGCGCCAGATCCTGCAATCCCATTTCACTGCGAAGAACAGTGCCATTGGTGTACTTGCACTTGTGTGCGAACTTCTACAACTCACAGACGTCACCAGTGCCGCCTACATTTGGGTTTCTAGTTTCTCACTGTGCTTGTGGACGGACAGGGGAGAGACACTCAAGCAATATGCCATGGAGGTCAAACACGGGTGCGCCATTTGGGAATGCCAATATTTACAATTTGGATGGTTCAGAATGCTCGGAGCCCTCAGGTTTTTCTGAAGGTGCAGATTGGGCTGAACGGGACGACCTGGACCTCTTTGCTGAGCATGGATGGGACTCCAATGAGGCAGCAGGAGCTTGCGCGGCTGGGTCTCAGCAGGGTTTGGAAGATAGTGGCCAGGGTTCACAACTTTGCCATGAATTTTCACCTGCAGAGCTGGCACGGAAGAGGCGGGCTGCTGACATGGAGCTGGAAAAGGGCGCAGGCCCTGATAAGAACCTTTTCTTCAACATGCTGAAACTGCAGCGCACTGGGGTCCCACAGATGCCTTGGACTAAAGGTTTGGTTGCAGACGTTTTCAAGAAGGGGCCTTGCAAGCTGCCTATGCCATGGTTGTCAATGCCGCTTGTGGGGAAACAGGAAAGCTTGCAAGGCCTTGTGCCATCTTCGGAGCCACCGGAGAGGATGGCTACCAGGACACCGTTTCATCAGAAGCGTTTGCTGTCAGTGAGGTTGGCCCAAACAGATGACCAACTGCGTGCAAAAGCTTTGCGGAGGCTCAGGGATTTAATCCTGGCAGTGCCATCGCATACACAGCTGGGTCGGGCGCTTCTGGACACTGCGGGACAGCTGACAGGTGAGGACATGATCTCCTGTGTTTTTGCCGATGCTTTTAGGAGTAGGGCCACTGCAACACTGGTTAAGCGATCATTGGACTATTACAAACTGGCTCTTTGGATGCGTCAATGCCTGGGTTTGCAACTGATGCAGCTTACTGAGAGTGTTGTGTACCAGTACTTGAGTTTCTTGAGGGAGACAGGTGCCGCACCAACCTTAGCTGATGCAACTGTCAAAGCAATTTGGTTTATGCATTCAACTGCCACCATTGCTGATTTCAATCCAAAGGTTTTCACATCACGCATCACTGGAGTTTGCAGGGACATGTACTTGAGGAAAAGGATTTTGAGGCAGGCGCCACCTTTTCCAGCAGACGTTGTCAGGGCCTTGGAAGTGTATGCGTTGCAGGCAGAGAGTAAGATTGACTCCATGTTTACAAATTTCATTTTGTTTTGCATCTTCTCAAGTTGCCGCATTGGAGATGCTGCAAAGATCAGGGAGGTTGAATTCTCACGATGCCATGACATCTTCCTGGTGGAAGCAGCGACCTCAGAAGCAAAGAACACGAACACCATGGAGAGGCGTAGGATGCTGCTGCCTTTTACAGCCATTGGTTGGGGCCTTCATCTGAATCCATGGTGTATCAAATGGGAAATGCAGTTGAAAGCATTGCAACCGGAGACAATCATGCCGGCTTATTCAGAAGTTTCAGGGCAGTTTTTGAAGCGGCGCATCACCACTGCAGAAGCCAATTTTTGGCTTAGGGAGGTGCTGGTGCGTTCTGGCCTTACTCCAGCACAAGCTGCAAAGTACAGCACACACAGCTGCAAGGCAACCGTTCCTACATGGGCTGGTAAGTTTGGTGGTTTCTCCATGGATGAACGGCGCATGTTGACTCACCACATGGATGCCAGTGCTGTGATGCCCTTGTCGTATTCAAGAGACAATTTGACAGCTTTGCATTCCAGAGTTTTCAGGATGTTGACCGCCATTCGCAATTTTGAATTTGACCCGGATTCATCAAATGCTGCCCGCATCTATCAGGACAACAAACATCTCCTGGACGAGCCGGCAGAGCCCCCTCAGCAGCCAGGTGATTGGGCAGAGTCGGAATCAGATGTTTCAGATGAGGAGAGTTTTTCAGAAGGTTGCAAGTTTGTGGATGCCCAGCCAGTGCCAGCTGATTCAGTGACTGGACAAAAACTGCTGCACAAGGATTCCATGGTAGTCCATGTGAAACGTGACAACCAGACCCTTTGGTGTGGCCGCAAGATGTCTCCAAATTACCGCATTTGGCAAGAGGGCGACCCTGACTTCGCTCAGCTGGTGATTTGCCAGCAGTGTGACAAAGCTCAGCCGTGAGAGAGTTTAAAAAGATTGGAGTAGCAAGGCAGCCAAGTTTGAGGCGGTATGGCCGCAAACCAAACAGGTCTGTCATTCCATTTTAATTTTCTTTTCGAATTGCACTCCAATTGACTCGAACGTTTTTCCAGATTTCAAAACATCATGGCAAGGGCACAGTTTATTTTGAGTGAGTCGGTCGATCGAATCACAAACTGCACTTTCACCATGAGCTGCACACACATGATATCTTGTATGTTGACTTACATTGATATATATACGACCAAACTGGAAGCATGGCCTAAAGTACATCAAGTTTGGGGTGGCAAGTGCCACAATCCAAACAGATGTCACCTGTCAGCAGGAAAGGTCAATTTGAGCTTCTTGTGTGCCCGCAATTTCCACTGCATCAAGTTTGAGGCGGCACTAGTCGCAATCCAAACAGATGTCAGGAAACAGAATGAATCGGGACTCCATTTTTCTTAACACTTGCATGGAAACACTCTATCTGTCGTGAACGCTTGTCATTTAATCCATGTACTTCTTTGCTATTTGTTTTACTTGCCTGCCATGGTTTCGCTGGAATCGAAAGCTGCATGGGAAGCACGTGCACGTGCTATCGGAGTGCCCGATGGCTTTTTAGCTGAGCTGCAAGGATGTAGTCTGGACACATTTGGTCAATGGGCTTTTTGCTGTCAATGCGATCAGAACAGTTTCGATGACACACCTATCAAAACTGCAGTGGATGCTTTGCTAGGGCGTGAAGTGACGCCACAGGAGATGGTCTTGTGCAGAAGGCTTTACTTTGAGGGCAGAACTTATGCAGCTGCCGACATGCAGGCGAGGATTGAACGAACTTCAGAGGACAAGCCAAGGACCATGCCACTTGCAGAGCGCATGGCGAGAATAGAGCGCCAAAAAGGCGACTTGGTGGGCGTCACATGGACGGCAGAGCTGGAGCCGTCTCACAAGCTGGTAGATAAAATAGTGGCTATGCAGGATGATGGGGCTCTGCTTTTCATCCCACCACACGCTTGTGTCAGCAGGGTGCAAGAGATCCATCAGGAGAAACACGAGGTTGCCTTAACCTTCGACTCAGCAGGCAACATCCGTATGGGCAAGAAAGCAGAAGAGCTGAAGTGTGATACCAATGGTGATTTGAATCTGAGAAATGCGTGGACTAGAAGAAACCTTGCCTACGATCAGGCGGGTCTGGCCAGTTTTGTGGTCTTGGAAAAGTGGCCAACCAAGCTGATGCTGTCAAAACTCAAGGAACCGCCTTCTGGGTATCGCTACATTACAACACAGCAGATCTGCGAATGTGACAAGGAGATGTGGCTGCAGCTTTCCCAGTTGTCCCGTGGGAAGCTCCAGCCAACAGCGCCAGATGTGCGGCCTTTGGATGACCTCATTGAAAGGCTCACAACATCACCGGAGATTTTGTGCTTCTTGACACCCCTGCAAGGGGGCAAGCGTGATGCAGGTGACCATACAGATGCAACTGGGCCCAAAAAGCCCAAGCCTGGGCCAAGTGCACCGGCCGCTCCTTCCAAGCCGACGCCAAAAGCAGCAGAGCAAGCCACAGGCGCTACAAACTGGCGCAAAGTGCCTCAAGGCTGCCAACGTAAGGGAAGCAATGGATGGAGATGCCTGAAGTTCCAATGGGGATTGTGCAGCAGACAGAAGGAGAGCAAGTGTAAGTTTGGGGTGCATGAATGCTTTAAGTGTGGAGCTAAGCGCCCCTACAACCAGTGCGAACACTGACTCCCGGAGGAACCAAAGCAGCCTGCCAATCAACGACAAACGACGTTCATTGAATTTTTCTCAGGGTCGGGGGCCTTTTCCCTGGCTATGAAAAATGCAGGGTGCCAAGTTTTTGCGGTGGATCACCAAGCAAACCGTTTCACGCCAAAGGTGCCCACTTTCACCATAGACCTGAGCCTTGAGGACGAAGTCACAGTGGCAAATCAGATGTTAGAATTCGTAAAACCGGATGCAGTCCATTTTGGACTCATGTGTGGCACATGCAGTCGAGCCAGGGAACACCAGGTTTCCAAAGAGCTGCAACGGCAGGGGGCCCCAACACCTCGACCCCTCCGCGACGAAGCCAATTTGTTTGGGCGCCCTGGGCTGTCGCCTGCCGACAAATTCAAGGTGGACAAGGCCAACACCATTTACAGGCATGCATTGACACTTTTGGTAACATGCTATATGCTGCAATGCATTGTTTCAATAGAAAACCCGGCACGTAGCTGGCTATGGCCCCTCTTGGCCCTCCTGGTCAAGCAGACAGCCAATGAGGGATTCATCAGCTGGTATTTTTCGCTGGAAGCTACAATGTTTGATGCATGCATGCATGGCTCCTTGAGGAACAAAAGCACCACCATTTTGGGCACTCCTGGCGTTTTCAATTCTTTAGCAGTACGTTGCGACAAGTCCCATAGCCATGAACCTTGGTCGGCCAAGAAACTGGAAGATCACAGATGGATCTTTGATACAGCTGCTGAAGCGGAATACCCAGCGGTGCTTGCTAGGCGTTTGGCGGCCTGCATTCTGCAAAAACTGGAAGCAGGACCAACCTTTTTGAACCTCAAGCAGCTGCGCTTGGACAGCCTCCAAGCTCAAGGAAGACAGCATCGGGCCCTTCAACAACTGGTGCCCGATTTCGAAGCTTTTCTTTGGCGATCTCCTTCGATCCCACTGGCCAAAAACGAAAAGCCCCTGCCACCAAAAACAGCGGGGGAGGAACTCGAGGTGGCTGATGAAGACCCTGCGCATGAGGGCGCGGTCAAAGTAGGTGTTTGGATGGAGCCAGAGGCCCACATTGCAAGGGCGCTGCAGCTTTGGCACCCAATGGATTCAACTATTGTTTTGCCGGACTCCCTGATGAAAGCCTTATTTGCCATGGTCACCAAGGAGCCTGCAGCGATAGCTAGAGTCAGCTAGAGAGAGGTTAGAAATGCTGAAGCTCTACAGAGATAGAGCGGCCAACTTGCAAGCGGCCGAAGCTGACCTGCACAAAAAGTTGCCAGCGCATGTTCAGGGGGTTGTTAAGGGGAAACGCCTTTTGCTTTTTGAAGAGTGTCTGAGAGCGAACTCTTTTTCTGACTTGCAGGTCATGCACGACTTTTTGGAAGGTGTTGATTTGGTAGGAGAAGAGCCGATGTCAGCACTTTACAAAGAAAAGCTACAGCCAGCCACCATGACTGTTGAGCAACTGAATATGTCAGCATCACTTCACAGAAAGCTTGTGATAGGCCGACCCCTTGCTGACCATGAAAAGGAACATGCAGATAGGTTAGTGGAGCTATCCCAAGAGGAAGTGGAGGAATCATTCCTCCGTGGCCCTTTCTTTTCTGAAGACGAAGTTTCGGCGGAGCTGGGAACGCAAGACTGGACCCTGACAAAGCGCTTTTTGCTAGTTCAGGGCGATGACGGGAAAGAACGCATAATTGATGACTACAGGAGAAGCCATGTAAATGCAGCCTTTGCTTCCCGGTCCTACTTGGAGTTGCAGGATGTGGATGTTTTGGCAGCCCTTATAACCCTCCTAATGCACTTGCTGAAAGGAGGCCACGATGTTTCTCTCCCGCTTTCAGATGGTACGGTCTTGAGGGGAAAGCTCTCCCGAGCAGCCATGTCAGGGGAAGCCATTCTAGGCAGGTGTTTTGATTTGTCAAAGGCCTACAAACAACTTGCAGTGAGCACGGCCAGCCTCCGGTATTCTGTTTTGGGTGCACGGAACAGCAGCGGCAAGTGGTTCTACTACATTGGGCAGTCCCTGCCTTTTGGTTCAACAGCAAGTGTTTACAGTTTCAACAAGATGGCCCGGGCACTTCAATTCCTGCTCTGGGAAGACTTTGGGGTGGTAACCACCAACTTTTATGACGACTACCCAACACTGGAGCTTGCTGGTGCTGCGGAAAATACCACGCAGGTGGTGTCAGGTTTCTTTCAATTGCTTGGCTGGAGGCATGCTGTGACGGGCAAGAAGGCCAAACCTTTTGCTTCAACTTTCGCGGCTCTGGGGGTGGAATACAATCTGGCCAACCTCCATGGCTCTTTCTTTACAGTGGGCAACAAACCTGAACGCCTCCAGCGCATCGGGCGCCTGATTCAGCAAGTTGCCCAGGAGAAAGCAGTAACCAGTTCCACAGCAGCTTCCCTACATGGGCTTTTGAATTTTGCGTCTGGATTTGCGCTGGGCAAAGCACTACAACCAGCGGCTCAAGGCTTTTCTTCTCTGGCAATGGGTGCCAATCTCCCTCCGCAAGTGCTAGCAGATTTATGCCAGCATGCCCTAACAGTTCTTAGATCTCTCCAACCTCGCAAGGTGGCAACCTCGGATGAGCCTCACCCCATAATCATCTACACTGATGGTGCATTTGGAGAAGACCTTGCGGATTGGGGGGCAATCGTGTTGGACACTGCCACCAATACAAGAGAATGTTTTGCTGGACGAGTCCCCGCTTTTCTGCTGGAAGCATGGCGTGGATTGGTTGGCGAGCAACTTATTTGTCAGATTGAGATGTATGCGGTTCTGTGCATACGGTGGCACGCGAGACACTTACTGCATGGCCGGCGTGCAATCCTGTTCATCGACAACGAGGCCTGTAGGTATTGCCTGATCAAAGGAAGGTCTCCATCTGACCCACTTTTTCGGATGGCCCATGCTTGCTCCTGTTTGGAAGGCGCCATGCCATGTTACTTATGGTATGAACGTATTGCATCATATTGCAATCCTGCAGACCTCCCCTCAAGGAGGCAAGCCGAACAAGCTTGTCGAAAGTGGAACCTGAAGTTAGGTGGAGATATCAGCTTGCCGTCTGAGCTCTATACCTCCATCATTGACGGAGTGCCTTTTCCTCGACTGGCATGGGCGGGAAACGATGTTAGCTGGATCCTCGAATAACGGGGGAAAAACACATGGATCTCAGAATGGCCGAGGTCTCCCAGAGACAATCCGGTCATAAGAGAAGAAAACAAAACATGTGACCAAAGTGATTTCGAAGACATCACGACAGTCACCTTGAACCGTGTGATTGCTCCCCCGACTCTGCGAGAAAAAGAAAGAGGTCCGTCCAGCATGCAGTTTGTTCATCACGCTGAATTGTTTTAATTTTATTTGAGAGATTTTGGCGAAGCGAAACCATTTTTATTAACACCTATTACGCGCTTCCGTAATGAGGAGGTTTCCTTCTAAACAACCTTGGGGGCTGTAAAGACGTAGGTGAATCATGGGTACCATGAAAGCCTTGTCTTTCCTGCCCAGCGCAGGAACGGAGCGCACAAGGTTGTACAAAGGAAACCAACCAAAAATAATAAAAAAAATAAATGTAACACAAACCAAACTGTGGAAACCACTCTTTGAAATGCGTTTGTGTTCGTTTTAAGTTTCAGTTTTACTGAATCTGTTTTCTGAGTGACTGTCTGATGATTATTTATATTCTGTATTTTACATCTCAAATTTAGGGATGTGGTGGGCGGGTTCACACAGAAAATTTCTGTGATTTCCCATAGTTTTTGACCCTCCCAAATTCCTCTTCGAGTCACCCACCCTTTAACTATGGGGAAAAACACATGGATCTCAGAATGGCCGAGGTCTCCCAGAGACAATCCGGTCATAAGAGAAGAAAACAAAACATGTGACCAAAGTGATTTCGAAGACATCACGACAGTCACCTTGAACCGTGTGATTGCTCCCCCGACTCTGCGAGAAAAAGAAAGAGGTCCGTCCAGCATGCAGTTTGTTCATCACGCTGAATTGTTTTAATTTTATTTGAGAGATTTTGGCGAAGCGAAACCATTTTTATTAACACCTATTACGCGCTTCCGTAATGAGGAGGTTTCCTTCTAAACAACCTTGGGGGCTGTAAAGACGGTTGTGTATTGGAAACCTGGAATCGAGTTTCCCAGTTGAGACATCGGCTCAAGGGAGTGGTGTCAAGTGTTCCGAAGCGAACTGAACTGCAGTGTCACCTAGGGCATATGAAATTGTAGCCACACTGGAATCTCCTTTTGGTTTGTGGCCGTGTGCCTGCCTTGGTTCCTGTTGACCTGTTCCGTTGTGTGTGGCGTCTGGAGAGAAAAGAAGGAGTCTGACGTGCACTTAGGAGTCAGGGTGGAACAAGTTCCTTTATTTTGACATTGCAGAGAAGTAAGTAACTGCGGGGCCGCAACCACAGTGGGTGTTTGCGTCTGGCGTAGTGAGAAAACGAAAGCGTTGATTTGGGTACACGAGAGGTGTACTTGGGTTTGCGTTTTTCACATGGTAGCGGAGCCCTGAAAGGGCTACCCACACCATCTTCCGCTGACCCTTGTTTGTGACGAGATACCAAGGACGTCATCTGAGGTGAGATCGGGATCTTGGGTATTGGAGCTCCGTGTTCTATGCGCAGAGGCAGAGATGAGCTCGTACTAAGGTGCACCTGTCTCACAGGAGGTGATGACATGAAGGTATAAGGTCACTAGGGAGTGTGAAGTTGGTTGAAGTCTGTTGGGTTCAGGTGACTTTGGGACCCTGTTTTAGGTATAGATTTCTACGGATCATGAGGATCGTGGACCTATCGTTTTTTTGGACGAATATTCGTTTGCAAGTTGAGCAAGAATCGGCAGGGTGTGTGCTTGGTAGGCTGGACAGAAGTGGATCCATGTAAACTGTCGACAGTGGTACCTGTAGAAGAGCATACAAGATTAGTCAGCCCTGGGCAGGACACTTGTGACTTGGACGGAGGAGTTGAGTTTGTGTTGACAGTGGATTCTGTCAGAGCAAGTTTTTATTTCCACCTTGTGTAGGTGCGTAGTCTTTGGAAGGCGTCCATGTGCTCTTGGGAGTATTCTGGTAGGGGTCTGTGTCATGGCGTGACGTATTGCTAGCGTAGGGTCACTAGTGCAAGACTACGCTGGAGTATTTGGAGATGTTTGCATGGATGGAACGTTCCTAGACGTAGGAGATTCGTTTCGGCAGTGTGAAGTAACAGTAGGTAACTTGCTGCAACCTTGTAATTGGAACACGCTAAGGTAAGGACGAGAAGAATTGATTCGCATAATCTGGTAGAGCGACTGATTGCCAGGTTGGACACTGGACACTGAGGTATTGGATCAGAGTGCAAAGGTTGGGAACTGATGACATTAGGTACATTGTTCTTGCAAACAGTTGAGGCATGTTTTGGATCTTGAACTCAGTTGGTCCATAGAGGAGGAGTGATAAGAAAAGGTGTATCAGGTGACTGGAATGAGTATGTAAAGATCGCTTTCTGAGTTGTCGTTTCAGTGTCACTCAATCTGAAGGTAGATTTGATTTTTTTGAGCCCAATACGCATGAAGACTTTATGTTTTGGAGTGCACTGTGGATGATTGAAAGTGGGTATCATGCATGTCACTGATGGTGCCAAGTATTGCTCAAGAGGTTCAAAGGTAGATCAGATTGCCATGTCTACCCGGAAAGACCAGAAAGGACTTTTGAAATAAGGGCGAACCTCCAGTGGAACTGGAACGTCTCACTCCAAGGAATGTCAATACAAGAAGGCTATACAGTTGGCTCGCCCAAAGAGTAAGATGACTGCTGAGAGGTTTGGATCTACCACAGAAATCTCGACACCTTGAGGTTTGGATTGAATGACTTCGAGAGAAAAGGTAGAACTCGTAGAGTTAAGAACCCACTATGAGAAGGAGGTCCAATAATCCAGCTGACGCTTTGACATCGTGGACGGTTGATGGATTCTGAGCTGGTGATGTTTACTGGTTGAGGATAGACGGAAACTATGCCCATGGAGAAGTCGTTGAAGTATTGCTGACATCAGCGCTGACGATGGTTGTGGATATGGATGGGCTGTTTATTTATGATGAGCGAAGTGTTGGAGGAACAACCGTCTATTTCTTTGAGGATCAGTTGATTTCTCAGAGACAGTTATATGTTTTTGGAAACTTCGAATGTTTCAGAAGAGTTTAGACTTCATTTTCGTTGAGGTGCTTGGAATATCGAAGTCTCCTGGTGAATACAATGTCTTCTACACCTCTGACATTGAAGGTATGTCGAAGTTCATGCTGGATGTGAATTTTAGTATGTATGTAAAGAGAGAGATGAATGTCATGTCGAAAGGGGGTGTGGAAGTTTGTCACCCTTATGGGGTTGCAACTTGGCATTGGTGCGACAAGCATTCATTGAGTCTTCAGTAGTGAAACTGGACTATGGGAAGGTGTCTACAACAGACATAAGTAGTTTCGATATTGCTTTGTGGTATAAGAAGCTGCATGAGATGATTTGAGATATCGACCTGTGAGTCTAAGTGAATCTACTTGGAGCTCGATTCTCCTTTGAATACAGTTTGAAGCGTTATTTAGCTTTATGACAGTGGACGAATGCTTTCAGAAGCATGCGCTAGACAGTTGAGTCGGGATGATGTGGTTTCATCGATCTCGGAGATTTCTTGACTCCTTGTGGGAGTGTGAATCTGACGGAGATGGTTTTGGAACCTCCGTTTCGATTCTTGACGTTGCTTCAAACATCTGAGATGTTTGTGAAGCCCTTTGACTACCTCTTGCGAGTATGTGAGATACTTCGGCATTGTGAGGACAATGCCTACGTATAGTATTCGACATCTAGGTATGTGATCTGGAAGTCTGATATTTCAGCGTTGTAAGGACAATGCCTACGCAGAGTGTTCGACATCTGGGCATTTGATCTGGAAGTCTGATACTCCGGCATTGAGAAGACAATGCCTACGTATAGTAGTCAACCTCTGGGTATTTGATCTGGAAGTCTGCTTTGTGACCTTTGTATTTGTGACTTATTGCTGATGTTTGGTTATTGCAGTGAGCGAACTACTTTAGCGCTATGACTGCTGATGACGGGATATTAGCTGAGAAGTCGAGCAGAACATTCTGCTCTCCACGGTGGTTTGGAGCTATGAGAAGACATCTCTGGGTGAAGAACTGTTTTGGAGATGGAACATGAGGTTCCCATGTTGTTTATTGCAAGAGAATTTTGTCGAGCAGAACATTCTGCTCTCCACGGTGGTTTAGAGCTATGAGAAGACATCTCTGTGTGAAGAACTGTTTTGGAGATGGAACATGAGGTTCCCATGTTGTTCTGTATTGCAAGAGAATTTTGTAGAGGAATTTGAATGGATCATTTCGTTCTTGAATAGCCGTGTAACTAGTCTAGACGTTTGGTAGAGACTAGTAACACCGGCTGGCTGGTTATTCGCGTTTGGACGAGAACCAGTTTGACTTGAGAACTTTTGGAAATGTTTCTGACGTTTTGCGACTAGGTGATTTGTATATCATAGCAGTTTGGAATTGTTTCAACAACCTTTGAAGGAAGGTTGTGTATTGGAAACCTGGAATCGAGTTTCCCAGTTGAGACATCGGCTCAAGGGAGTGGTGTCAAGTGTTCCGAAGCGAACTGAACTGCAGTGTCACCTAGGGCATATGAAGTTGTAGCCACACTGGAATCTCCTTTTGGTTTGTGGCCGTGTGCCTGCCTTGGTTCCTGTTGACCTGTTCCGTTGTGTGTGGCGTCTGGAGAGAAAAGAAGGAGTCTGACGTGCACTTAGGAGTCAGGGTGGAACAAGTTCCTTTATTTTGACATTGCAGAGAAGTAAGTAACTGCGGGGCCGCAACCACAGTGGGTGTTTGCGTCTGGCGTAGTGAGAAAACGAAAGCGTTGATTTGGGTACACGAGAGGTGTACTTGGGTTTGCGTTTTTCACACCTTCTCACTGGCTGCCCTCTGCAGGTTTTGCAATGTAGGAATGTCCGCTGCAAAGAGGTCAACTTCCTGGCTGGCTTCGCAGGTAGGCTCAGGGCTACTAGCAACAACGGTGTCAGTGACTTGCGTGTCTGGCGATTCATTTGGTGTGTCAACAGGCGTGGATTCCTCTGTCGGTATCTCCTTGTCAACACTGGGTTG